GGGCCTTAGAATCCTTTTGCCACTTGAGGAGCGGAAAAAAGAATTAGGAAATGCCCTTAAACTTTGTCAAATTACCATTCATGCCTCTTGTCGTAAATTTGATTTTTAAACAATCATCCCTAGTGTTTGACCAAAAATTATAGCACTCTTTGTTAAACTAATTAAAGATAATTGAGGTGAAAGGTGAATCCTAGTCAAACATAATAATTTTTAGATCTAGCTAAGAGTTTAAGTGATATCGTTTGCCTAATGCCCAGGGTCGTGTGTTCAATCACTAAATGCCCACTTTAGAGAATAAATGAAGAATGAATGATGAGCAATAAATATGGAAAATGGCAATAAATGTAAATAGGAAGAACAATTCACCCAAATATCAAATGATGTGGAAGATTCTTCCTTTTGACAACGAAACGTGGCAATAAACAAGAATATGAACAATGCTTTCTTGGATCATGTGAGTGAAAGGGAAGAATAATCGATAAAATCAATCACTATGGAAGTATTTTCTCTCAAAGGTCAACTTCTTACAATAATTTTCTCTAATTCAATTCACGTGTCCCCCTCTTTCTTCTCCCCCTTTTCTATTTATATGGGATATTCTCTAAAAATCCTAAAAAGTACAACAAGGGGAATATCCAGGAGAATATTCATGTCACTAGTTCCGAGACTACACTAACCGTTATTCCTACTCTTCGCTGCACGACCTCGACCTCTATGGTTCGTTCAGCAACTGCTCGTTGTTGGGCTTTGGTCGACCTCGGCCTATCCGCCCAAATCGGAATACGGTCTTTTCACCTTACGATCTTCCCACGACCAATTTTCTCAGCAAGATTTTGACCCATACAGTCAGTCCCTCCGCTTGTCGGGGTTGCCTTCTGGTCGGCCCCGATGAGCGGACCTTTTCAATCGGCGATTTGTGAAGAAGTTTTTGGCGTGGTGATCGAGTAGAGGTGTCCGTTGCCGAAGTAATAACGTGTCGCTTTGAGATTCGTGGGTCATAGGGTTGGTGCAGGATGACGTCACAACACAGGCATCATCATTGCGCATCTTCCTGATGCGTTGCCTCGTTCCTCGAGTCCCTGTTGTTTCGATTCTAAGGCCACTGGCGGTTGCTTGCATTGACTCGAACGCCCCTGAGGTCTATAAATAAAGAAGCGAAAACTTCTCAAAGAAACTTTTGCATTCTTCTAGTTTCTTAAGCCCTGCACTTGCTTCCTTTTCTCCCTCTTGTGTTTTTGCTTCCTGTACCTGCTGCCATTGCCACCTTTTTTTATTTTTCTGTCCCTTCGTATACACATCATCGGAAAATGGCTACCGTGACCCCCAACGCTGAGATAATTTCTGACCCTACTCCATTATCAGTGGACATGCCTTCTGGTGGCGGAGAATCAGCGGTGATAGAGGATGACAACTTTCCTACTATGGAGGAGATCATTCCTCGTAACCCTACTTCTAGGTCCGACTTCTCTAAGGAACCCACCCTTGAATCGGAGTCAGCGAAGTCAGAGATGGAGGCGAAACACTTCGCCGCCCTTAGGACTAAATACGGCATTCCAGCCCACATTGACCTGGTTCCGGCCAGAGATGACGTGATACAAGTTTACAGGCCTCGGTATTGTGTGTTTACGCCTACCCATTCCAGATAGGTTATTCTCTTCCTCTTCCCCCGTTGGCGGAGGAGTTCTGTCGCTACTACCACATTTGTCCGGCACAGCTCTCTCCCTACCTTTACAAGATTTTCCTTATATTGGCGAAGTTTGCGGAGCTCGCCGACTGCGAAGTCTCTATATGCCATCTACTGCATCTCTTCGGGCCGAGCTTCCATAGAGGCATGATGATTCACCTCCGCCACCGAGGAACCAAAGGGTTGGTGGCAGGGATGGATGATAGGACGAACCGCCGATTTTGGGCCCATTATTTCTTTATTAAAATCGAGCACGTGGTGGCAAACCCTAGCGGCTTTCCTGAACGATGGAATTTTGCTCGTAAGTATCGTTATTTGGAGTACGTTCTTTCCTTCTCTTCGTGATTCGTGACTTGTTACGTCATTTTTCCTTTTACAGCTGAGAGGCATCCCCCTTCTTTTGTCACCGATATCAGCGATTGGGTGGCCCGCATTGTGCCTCACAGCATAGGGATCCGTGACTGGGCGTCCTTATAAGAGGTTCGGGCTCAAGCCCTCGATCGGTAAGTCGGGTTTAGCTCTTATAACTATTTTGCTTTTGCTGCGGTACATTACTTTTTGTTGTTCATGGTTTTCCTTTGATGCTAGGTCAGAGAACTTCTAAGAAGGTGAAGGCTCATGTCCCCGCATTTCGCCAGGCGGTTGCTTCGGCAGGGATGCAGTTTGTGTTGGTCGAGTCTGTGCGAAATACTTCTTCCCAAACTCCAGTATTAAGCGAGCCTGGTCGTCAGACGGCCACTCCATCAGTGGAGATCCCGGCCTGCTCGATGGTTCATCTAGTGGACGAATCTTCCCCCGGTGAGGAGGAAGCGGCGCTGTTGAAGAGGCGACGAGTTGAGGTCGTGGTCGCACCTGAATGGGCCATGATCGTGGATATGGAGGCGATATGCGCTTCAGCTACGGGGACTGTTCCCCAACCGGAGAATGTCGTGGAAGCGAGGCCGTTGGAGATGGTGGAGGCTGCTGCGAAAATAGAGACACCGGGGGCAGCCCAGGTGGGCTCATCCTCCGCTGGTGGTAGAGGAAAAATGGTCGATGTGAAGGATGACGGGTCCGGTTCTGATATCGACCCCGAGGAGGCACGGACTTTTGAGGAGAGATGTCATGCCCCGAGCCTGACCAACACCCGGTGCCTTACCTATCCTTGCGTACCACTTGCAACTAAGAGGCTCTGAATATGTAATGTCATACTATGGCCATGGGCCACATTACAAGATAATGTGCGAAGCAAAATATAAAACTAATAGAGACTAACGCTGACTAAATGTCAACATAAAGCTGGGCCGGCAAGGCCGTCATAACCACTATAACTGACAAGCCAACAAAATATACGTACAGGGCCTACAAGCCCAACATACTGCACTAACTGACAAGATATGTCTACAAGTCTCTACTGACAAATGTACTGTGATCGGAACAGGGCCCCGGCCTACCCATAACCTATCTACATATATACACAAGATGTACACAAAACTTCTAGACCCGACAACTCCGAAGGACGGGGAGATTATCGATAAAGCTGAATTCGGGCAACACCTACTGAGGAGGTCTACCCATATATCTGTCTGAACCTGCACGCATGAAATGCAGTGCCCCTAGAAAAGGACGTCAGCACGAAATAATATACCGAGTATGTAAGGCAATATACTGAAAGTTGAAACTGAACAGATAATCTGAACATATGCTTACTTGTTGATACTGACTTAACTCTCTCAATATAGTAAGTAAAATAGTTGTCCGGCCCTATAAGGCTCGGTATATATATATATATATATATAGACTCTCTGCTCTCTTGACTGGAAGAAGGAAATACTCAATTGAATATTGTACTTACAAGACTAGGGAAAATATATGTAAATTCCGGGACANATATATATATATATATATATATATATATATATATATATATATATATATATATATATATATATATATATATATATATATATATATATATATATATATAACTGCACTGCCGTAGTAGGCTCGCTCATAGGTGCTCGGCCATACTAGGCTCTGTATCTCGGCCAACTGGGCTCACTCATAGGCGTTCGGCCACAGTAGGCTCGGTATATAACTTACCATCTGATCAGAGGTTGCCCAATAGGGGCCTGCCCATCAATTATAGCTCGATGGTAATAAAAATACTGTAATATCGTATATGTAGATTCTCTGCGCTCTTGACTGGAAGAAGGAAATACTCAATTTAATATGAAGTCCCGATAAGGAGAATATTGTAACTTACAAAACTAGGAAAATATATGTAAATTCCGGGATATAAATTTTTCTCTATGCCTCGTTATCAAACTCATGTAATTACGAGGTCATGCCAAAATGAAGGAAGAGCTTAGCCTTAACATATCTGGACTAGGGAAAAATCCGTATGATATTATGAGAAAAGGTTGCACCGTACTTTTTTAGAACCGCAAAATTACTCCGTTGCTAAGACTCTAAAAATTCTCGCTGGAATTGGTTGCAAGGAGAATTGATAACGTTTACTTCTGGTTATAAGGTCTTGGTATTGAAAATATTAGGAATGAGATTTATGATCTGATTGTTGTATGGATTTGTTTTGAAAGATCTTTGGAATTGAAGTGTTTTGATAACACTTCACGTTGTTGAAGTGTTTTGGTAACATATCATTTTGCCACTTATCAAGAATGACTAAGAGTCATCTCTTTATGAAGTGGCTTGCTGCCACATGGGGGTGGGGATAATTTTAATCTTATCCCATAACCAATTAATAATTAGGTATATTCCGTTACCCGGTAATTAATTATTTACCCGCATAATTAAGAATTATCTCAAATTATTTAAAATTCTACTTATTTTTAATACACCTTATACATCATACTATCGTGGTCATATGGTACCTTGCATGGTACTAGTCCATAAGTATCGGGTAGTATAGCTCGGACCGTATTTTATCCAAATTCGACAACCTTCAACGAAACTTATTTTCTTTAATTCGTGTACCCTTTCTTTCATGGCACTTACTTATTGCTTGGTGTAAATAGCATAAATATGCTAACCTCAAGATATTCTCATCCCCGAGTTTACGTCAATTAACTGAAGACGAAACTTTAACGTACGAAAAACACGAGATGTAACATTCTTCTCCCCTTAGAAACATTCGTCCTCGAATGTATACTCTTAGATACTTTGGGAATTTTTTTTTTGCCGGAGTCTCTTCCGTAAACTAGACTAAACCCAACTTGTACGCAGCCAGAAAACATACTATACATGCCACACATAGCCACTGTCTATAAATAGCAACACTTGGCTTCACACAACTATCCATTATAAATTTTGAGAGTCAAAATGAGAGCATACCTGATGACCTACTGGCCTGAATAGAGCTGTGCTGTGGTATCCCACCTCGAGCCATATCTTCAGTTTGAAATAGGTGGGGGTATTTAGACTTCATTTCTTCCTCTGCTTCCCACATCATCTCTTCCACATTCTTGCTCCTCCATAAAACCTTCACGGAGGCTATTTCCTTATTCCGTAGCTTGCGGATTTGTCGTTCTAGGATGGAAACCGGGATTTCCTCGTATGACAAGTTCTCCGTAATCTGTACATCAACCGTGGGCACCACTTGGGTAGGATCGCCAATGCACTTCCGTAGCATTGATACGTGAAAAACCGGATGGACAGACTCCAATTTTGAGGGTAATTATAACTCATATTCTACTTGGCCCACTCTCCGAATGATCCTATGAGGCCCAACATACCGTGGGCTAAGTTTGCCTTTCTTGCCAAACCTCATCACACCCTTCATAGGTGACACCTTTAAGAATACCCAGTCATTAACCCCGAATTCTAAATCTCGTCGCCGCACGTCAGAATATGACTTCTGACGACTCTGAGCTGTCAACAGTCGCTCCCGGATGAGCTTTACTTTTTCTATGGCCTGCTGAACCATGTTTGGCCCATGTAACCTAGATTTTCCAACATCAAACCACCCTATAGGAGATCTGCACTTCGCCAATACAAAGCCTCATACGGAGCCATTTGGATACTGGAGTGGTAACTGTTATAATATGCAAACTCGATAAGAGTTAGATGTTCATCCCAACTCCTTTTAAAATCTAATACACATGCTCGTAACGTATCCTCAAGCGTCTGAATTGTGCGCTCGGCTTGTCCATTAGTCTGTGGATAAAAAGTTGTGCTGAGATTCACCTGAGTCCCCAGACCTTTCTGAAATGACCTCCAAATGTGCTGTAAACTGGGCCCCACGGTCAGATATAATAGATATTGGTACTCCGTGTAGTCGCATATATTTTTAATATATAACTTTGCATAATCTTCTGGTGTATATGTAGATCTGACCGGTAGGAAATGAGCTGATTTCGTGAGCCTATTGACTATCACCCATATGGATTTGAACTTACGGTAAGAACGAGGTAAACCCATGATAAAGTCCATGTTTATCGCCTCCCATTTCCATGTCGGGATTTCTATAGTCTGCATTAGCCCCCTGGTGCTCTATCTTCACCTGCTGGCAACTAGGGCACTGAGCGACAAACTCAGCAATGTTCCTCTTTATATCGTTCCACCAGTACACATCCTTAATGCCATGATTCATCTTCGTTGACCCAGGGTGAATGGAGTACCACGAATAATGTGCCTATGACATAATCATGTCTCGTAGCCCTGCTCTATCTGGAACACACAAACGACCGCCTATATCTGAGAACCCCATATCCCTTAATTTCTAACAACGGCTTCTTCTGCTGTGGAACTCGCTTTCTCAACTCGACCAACTCTGGATCCTCGTACCGCCTCTCCTTTACTTCAGCTATGAGAGATGATTTTGCAGTATTTTGGAGTACAACTCCTCCATTGCCAGAGTCTACTAACCGAACCTCCAAACAAGTCAATTGGTGAATCTCTCTAGTTAATTGTCTTTTCTCGGCCTCTACATGTGCTAAGCTACCCATAGATCGGCGACTTAAGGCATCTGCTACAACATTAGCTTTCCCTGGATGGTAGAGAATGTTAACATCGTAATCTTTCAATAACTCAAGCCATCACCTCTATCGCAAATTCAACTCTTTTTGCTTGAAGATATATTGCAGGCTTTTATGATCTGTGAATACATCAACATGAACACCATACAAGTAATATCGCCATATATTAAGTGCATGGACAATCGCAGCTAACTCGAGGTCGTGGGTCGGATAATTCTGTTCGTTCTTCCTTAACTGCCTTGAAGCATATACAATTACCTTCCCATGTTGCATTAGGACACATCCTAACCCGACTCCTGGGGCATCACAATACATGGCATAACCATCTGGACCCTCTGGAAGTGCTAGAACTGGTGTTGAGGTCAACCTGTTCTTAAGCTCTTGGAAACTCTGCTCACAGGCCTCTGTCCACTGAAACTTAGTTGTTTTCTGCGTCAACTTCGTTAATGGTGCTGAAAGAGAAGAAAAACCCTCTACGAACCTCCGGTAGTATCCTGCTAAGCCTAGAAAGCTACGAATCTCTGTCGGAGTGGTAGGTCTAGGCCAGGATTTCACAGCCTCAATCTTCTGACTGTCTACTTTTATACCTCCATCTGATACAATGTGCCCCAAGAATGCTACAGACCTCAACCAGAAATCACATTAAGAAAACTTAGCATATAATTTACTATCACGGAGGGTTTGGAGCACCGCTCGCAGGTGGTCCGCATGCTCATCCTCTGAACGTGAATAAACTAAGATATCATCAATAAATACTATCACGAACAGATCTAAAAATGGCCGGAATAGGCTATTCATCAAGCCCATGAACACGGTAAGTGCATTCGTCAACCCGAAGGACATGACAAGGAGCTTGAAGTGGCCATATCGGGTCTTGAAAGCTGTCTTGAGAATATCTTCCTCCCGAACTGTGACCTGGTGGTACCCCGACCTCAAATCTATTTTTGAAAAGCATCTAGACCCCTGCAACCGATCAAACAGGTCATCAATCCTTGGAAGTGGATACTTATTCTTAATAGTTACCTTGTCCAGTTGCCTATAATCGATACACATCCTCAGCGAGCCGTCTTTCTTTCGCACAAACAGTACCGGTGCACCCCAAGGTGAAGTACCGGGTCTGATGAAACCTTTCTCCAGCAAATCTTTTAACTGCTCCTTCAACTCCTTCAATTCGGCAGGTGCCATTCTATACGGAGGGATGGATATTGGTTGAGTTCCCGGAAGCAAATCGATGCCAAAATCATTCTCTTGCTCTGGAGGAATACCTGAAAGTTCATCTGGGAATACATGTGCGTACTCTTTTACTACTGGATTAGGCCGAAGTGTAGGTATCTCTGCATCCACATCTCTAACTCGCACAATATGATAAATGCACCCTTTTGCGATCATTTTCCTCGCCTTCAGATAGAAATAAACCTACCTCTGGGTGCGCTGGATTACCTACCCATTCAAGGACTGGCTCACCCGGAAAATGAAAAATCTAGCTATCTTTGCTCGACAATCAACCGTGGCATAGCAAGCTGCCAACCAGTCCATGCCCATGATAGCATCAAAATCCAACATCTCTAGCTTAACTAGGTCGGTTGAGGTTTGACGATCGCAAAATGATACCGTACAACCTCGGTGAACTCATCTAGCAATAATCGATTCTCCGACCGGTGTAGATACCGCAAAAGGATCACTTAGTATTCCAGGCACTATACCAAACTTCCCCGCGACAAATGGGGTAATACACGATAAAGTAGATCCTGGGTCTATTAAGGCATAAGCATCGTGGGAGCAAATGGTAAACATACCTGTCACAACGTCTGGTAAGGATTCCTGGTCCTGCCGACCTGCTAACGCATAGCTACGATTCTGGTTACCACCTGAACTGGAACCTCTACCTCTGCCTCAACCTCTACCAGCTGAAGACTAAGACTCGCTCCCTGAAGGATACACGGACATAGATAATCCTGATGCTGAATTTGCTGGTTGCGCTATACCCCCAGAATCTCTATTTGGGCAATCTCGCATCATATGCCCCGGACGTCCACATGTATAACAAGCATCGGAACCAGCTCGGCATTGGGCCAAGTGTCCTCTACCACAGATGGCACACCGCGGCGGAAATGGCCATGTATGCCCTAAACCTCGTTGTCACTGCAAACCCGATGCTTGGGAGCTCTCACCTGGTTCTGACTGAGTATAGCGGTCATACTTGTAACCCTGTAGCTGAGGTGGCGGAGGTCTAGGTGGCCGTTCGAATTACTGGGGCCTGTAACTACCCTGAGACTACTCTTGATACCTGGCAAATCTCATCCTCTTATGCTGCCCTGACTCAGTCCTCTCCGTACCCTGCTGCCAACGCCTACCCCTTTCTATATTTTGGGCAAATGCCCGAATCCTGGAGATATCCATACTATCCTGCAATGCAGCGGTGGTACATGCCTCGGTCAACTCCGGGGCCCACCCTGCTATAAACATGTGGATCCTGTCCCGCATAGTAGCAACTATGGATGGTGCATATCTGGCCAATGAGTCAAAACGAAGACTGTACTCTCGAACACTCATATTGCCCTGCTTGAGGGCTAAAAACTGATCGACTCGGGCCTGTCGGATTTCCCGCGGTAAGTACTGGTCAAGAAAGGCATCTGAAAAATACTCCCAAATAGCTGGAGGTACATCACGTCCCCTGGACCTTTCCCATCCCTCGTACCAAAGGATGGCTATATCTCGGAGTCGAAAAGCTGCTAGCTTGACTGCCTCTTTCTCCGTGGCATGCATAACCCGAAATATCCTGTGAAGCTGATCTATGAAATCTTGCGGGTCCTCCCTCTGATCTGTCCCCGTGAACTCTGGGGGACTCAAAGTAATAAACTCTTAGACCCTTGAACTCCCAGATCCCTCGGAAGGTCCTGCACTAGCGGATGCCCTAGCCTATTGTTGGGTAGCCACTAATTGTGCCAACAAATGCACCGCACTTCTCAACTCCTGATCTGATGGAAGCGGAAGGGGAACTAGATATGTGGTCTCCCTAGGAATCTCCTCAGGTGGTGGAGGAGCCGGTAATGGCTGAGAAGGGTTCTCTCACTGGGCCTCCGATTAGGCCCCATCTACTGGGGGTACCCTGCTAGTCCCCTCACCTACTACTGTTTCTCTCCTCTGGCTAGCCGTAGTCTTCCTAGTTACCATCATCTGTGCATGCAAACGCCAACACGTAAGTTTAACCCAAATTTTCTATAACTCAATGCTACAGCACGATTTAGATTTGAAAGAAGGGTAACCAACTCCTAAATGCCATGTAGTCTCCTGCTTATATAATGTGATGCACCACACATCTATAAACAAGACCCTACTAGACACGGCTTGTAGACTCCCTAGGACAGAACTGCTCTGATACCACTTTTCTCATGCCCCGAGCCTGGGGGCGAGACCGGCACCCGGTGCCTTAACTATCCTTGCGTACCACTTGCGGCTAAGAGGCTCTGAATATGTAATGTCATACTCTGGCCATGGGCCACATTACAAGATATTGTGCGAATCAAAATATAAAACTGAATAGAGACTAACTCTGGCTAAATTTCAACATAAAGCTGGGCCGGCAAGGCTGCCATAACCACTATAACTGACAAGCCAACAAAATATACGTACAGGGTCTACAATCCCAACATACTGCACTAACAGACAAGATATGTCTACAAGCCTTTACTGACAGATGTATTGTGATCGGTACAGGGCCCCGGCCTACCCATAACTTATCTATGTAAATACACAAGATGTACACAAAACTTCTAGACACGATAACTCCGAAGGACGGGGAGCCTACCGATAAAGCTGAATTCGGGCAACACCTACTAAGGAGGTCTACCCGTCTCTCTGTCTGAACTTGCACGCGTGAAATGCAGCGACCCCAGAAAGGGACGTCAGTACAAAATAATATACCGAGTATGTAAGGCAATATACTAAAAGTTGAAACTGAACTGATAATCTGAACATATGCTTACCTGCTGATACTAACTCAACTCTCTCAATATAGTAAGTAAAATAGTTGTCCGGCCCTATAAATCTCGGTACATATATATAACTGCACTGCCGTAGTAGGCTCAGTCATAGGCGCTCGACCATTCTAGGCTCTGTATCTCGGCCAACTAGGCTCGCTCATAGGCGCTCGGCCACAGCAGGCTCGGTATATAACTTACCATCTGATCAGAGGTTGCCCAATAGGGGTCTGCCCATCGATTATAGCTCGATGGTAATGAAAATACTGTAATACAATCTATGTAGATTCTCTGCGCTCTTGACTGGAAGAAGGAAATACTCTGAATATGAAGTCCCGATAAGTAGAATATTGTAACTTACAAAACTAGGAAAATATATGTAAATTCCAGGATATGAATATTTCTCTATACCTCGTTATCAAACTCATGTAATTACGGGGTCATGCCAAAATGAAGGAAGAGCTTAGCCTTAACATACCTGGAGTAGAGAAAAATCCGTATGATATTCTGGGCAAAGGTTGCACTATACTTCATTAGAATCGCAAAATTACTCCGTTGCTAAGACTCTAAAAATTCTCGCTGGAATTGGTTGCAAGGAGAATTGATAACTTTTACTTCTGGTTGTAAGGTCTTTG